TAGAGGAAGTATGGATCATGCTTAAACTGTTCAGAAACCATTGCCATTATCTATTCTATCTTCGTGGGTGGTAACAGTCAATGCAGCAAATAAAATCACACATGCACCAACATTTGTATATATAATAAATGCAGTACATGAACTATAGCTACATCCTTCTACTACCAGCACTCTATGTGTACATGTATGTAGATTTTCTAAGAGAAGCTTTTAGTTTAACTTATATACAATCAAAAAGAAGACTACAGCATGCCCGTAGCCAGGATTTTGAGTGGGGGGGGTTCTTCCCAGTGCGTGAGGGACCAGCGAGTTTCTAGGGGGGTCCGGGGGCATGCCCCCCCGGAAAATTTGAAAATTAACCTTCTGAATGGCATATCCTGCGTTTTTGAGAGGATTTCATAGAAAAATCAGAGATAACTTTTTATTCAACATGTTCAATGACAAAGTAGGCAGTTTTTCTACGATTCCAGCCCCGCTGGTAATACGAATCAGTCCATGTAATCTTGGACCTTTAGATAAAAAGTGGACCAAAAGTGGACCTTCCGAACCCCCCGAATCCCCCCTGGCTACAGGCATGTACAGTCTGGACATATGTACTGACTTGTAGTAGTGCTCCCACAGGTTCCTGTATCTGCCCTGCCCTGACATGTCAAACACTGTAAACGACAAGCTGAAAAAACAACAACATAACAACGTTTACATTGACAGAACAAGGTTAATAATCACATAACAAGGTTGTTAATGACATACCATGGTAACGAGGTTAATAATGACATCTGTTAAAAAGAGATACATGAACTGTAAATCATGAAAACTTTGCGATGATTTTATTTTCTCGGCAACCCTCCGTTGTGAATTCATAACACCTTTCCTTGTATGACTACTGTACTACAGAACTATAATATCAAGTTCAAAAGACCTTCCTTTATTTCCCTCCTACCTCGAAGTATGACCACTGGAAAAGTGTCACAATCTAATGTGTCAGACAAACGTATAGACAGACACTCTTCATAAATTCATGTGGCCAAACTCTGGGGACAACCCATTAGAAAAAATAATCCAATAAAATAAATAATAAATGTTACATGTATAAATAATAAACCATAAATATATAATGGAATAAGCAAAGCATTGGAATGGGACGTGAGAATTTTGACTGACCATGACTACCCTTGTATCTGTAGTTTACCAGTATTGTACCCTATGGTTCAACTAATAACATGATAACATTGGTACAGTAGTACTAGTACTGTACCTTGCTGATGCAAATTTTTCCACTGTAAAACCGATGGTTGGAACAATGTCACTCTGTTGGGCCTGCAAAAGAGATAGAATGTGTTAAAGTCACATGTACACTGCAATATTGACACTGTAAGAAACAGGAGGAGCGAGTAGAAACAGTGGTTGTGTCTATGTCGGTTAGCTGTGGAATGAATCCCCTCAAATTCACAGTCATATAACCCCCCCCCCACTGTTACAACAATTTGTCAGTTAGTTTGGAAGGGGGAGGGTCAGAAATAATTTATGAAACCTTTTATACGTATATATAGTTTTAAAATCATCTCGAGGTAGTGAACATTATTATATACAATGCTGGTAACTCAATCCGATTTAATTTCAAGTGCAAAAATTACAACATGTGAGAGGGCCTGCATGCCCTTTTTCGTTAACCGTTATGGGCTATTTTAATTTACCGTTAATCGTTGCCGGCCAGCTCTAATTCAACGTTAAGCGTTATCGGTATATTCCTCGTGAAGCGTTATTGGTCGTTTTAATTCAACGTAAAACGTTATTTGTCATCCTAAATTCAGCGTTAAGCGTTAATGAATAAGTCTTCGTTACGCCTAATTTTGCCTTTCAAAGTGCAGGAAAATGCGTCATTGAAGGTTCAAAAATACAAAATTCCCCGGGGGAGAATGCCCCCGGATCCCCTTCATTGCTCACGCCTTTGGCGCTCGACTCGCGCTTCTGCGCTCGGTCCCCTTCGACTCTAGTCAGCACCGGTTTCCCCAGTCAATTACCGGAAGTTTGCGGAGCGTTACAGATTTTTTTAAACAAATCCGTCAACCTTGACAGGCGAAATCAACAAAAAATCTTTAGTAAAGGACCGACAAACACTCTCAACACCATGATTTGCCTCTCAAAGTGCGGAAATTGCATTTTTGAAGGCTTAAAAATCATAAATTTCCCGGGGAGCACCCCTCGGACCCCCTTAGATTGCGAGCGCCTCTCAAAATCCATCGGTAAAACTGGGCGAACGGAAAAAAGTCAAGCTGGGTACAGCCTTGGCCGACGTCGACTCGGACTCCCCTTTATATTTGTGTACACATAAGGAGACCAGGGCAGGTGGAAAACACAGGGAACACATACCTTTAATTCGTGCTTCATTACATGTAATGTATACGTAATTTTGTCAGTGATCACCTTTTCTCACAAAGCGAGATACCAAATCCAGTGCAGCTCGAAAAAAAGCCTGTCAATTTACCGTTAAGCGTTGCCGACCGTCCTGAATTTACCGTTAAGCGTTATCGGCCCTGCTGAATTTACCGATAACCGTTGCCAGGACCCCCCCATGCAGACCCTCATGTGATGGCTATTGGTCGCAGTGACAGGTGGTTACAATTGCTGCAAATTAAATTATGCATAATTTTGTTTGGGGGTGTGTGGAAGTTCTTGACAACGGTTTGTCAAACACAGAAACGTATCTATATAACCATAACAAATGTATTCATCAGAATCATACCCTAAGAAACAGTTGTATAATTTTGCTGTAACAATATTTTGCCTAATTTTGTTTGGGGGGGGGATGAGTGTTCTTGGCAACGATTGTAAAACACAGAAACGTAACCATAACATATGTATTTAAATGATCGGATTATAGTATACACTGAGAACCATCAAAATCAATCATTTCAATTGATTTTCCTCAAACCAAAGCTGAGAAATTAAAATATTATGACAGGTTTTTATAATAAAAATTTCCTTACGTTTTGCGGTTTGAGTTTGTTGATGATCGTGGTTTTTCCGCTGTTGTCTAGTCCCACGCAAATCACGTTCACTTCCTTTTTCTTCATGCCCAGCCATCGGGCCAGGGTGTCGAAGAACCCCATCACTCCAAGACGTCTTAAAGCAACGTTTTGAAGCCAAGAAAACGGGAAGAACCGTCAGAAGCAGGAGGAACAGCGTCTTGGACTTCTTCTCTGATGTTTGGAATGTGATTTCTCGACTAGTCCATTTCTGATACTAGGGGTTTCTGGTAGAAATTTTAGTTTATTTTTCTCACAGATTACAAACAGTTGTAAGTAAGTTTAGAAAAACATTCTAAAAATTATAACGAAATCTGGCATTGTTTGAAATTTTACTATCTTAAATGCAACAAATTGTACATTTAAAGTATTTTTTAAAAACCTACGCTTCCCCCTAATAATGTAGTGTAATATTCTGTAAGGCCTCCATTGCGCATGCTCAAAAAGGTCAGCAGGGTCAGGAAACGCAGTTGTTTATGTTACTCTCCAAGCAGAGGTTGTGGGGGAATGATCGTTACCTTTTATATATGGCCGTTTTTTTTGTCCTGACACCAACCCGTCGGTAGCCACGGACCTTCTCTGGCTAATGGATACTGCCTGGCCAATTTGATACTTTTTGCCACCGATAGGGATCTGCTTGGAGATTATAAGTTACTATTATAGTATGTAACTGTTAACGTTATGTTTGCCGCAAACTGTTCTCTCACCGCGGACTAACTCATCTGGCATGTTATCTCTCTCTATTTGGCCGATTTCTACTCTTTCCAGCCGCCTCCCGAAGCCTGGTAGAGGCTACGGCAAAATGTACTCTCCAGCAGACCAACTCCCATGACATGTTATCTCTCTATTTGGCCGATTTCCACTCTTTCCAGCCGCCTCCCGAAGCCTGGTAGAGGCTACGGCAAAATGTACTCTCCAGCAGACCAACTCCCATGACATGTTATCTCTCTATTTGGCCGATTTCCACTCTTTCCAGCCGCCTCCCGAAGCCAGGCTTCTACCAGTGGTAGAGGCTACCTAGTATGTACGTCCAATGTGAGAAGGGCAGTGATATATGTACTGTAGAATAGTAGATTGTATTATAATAAACTGCTAGTACATCATCTGTGTAACCCCAGACTATTGGTGACATTTGGTAGCTATCCGTGTAACTAAGTGCTAAACTCCCTTGTAACCATTAGGTGTTCAAGAATTCATTATATGGCGTTACTATATCGATATTTCCACGGCAGATGCTCTGCTGAACTTCACTCCCTCGTACCCCCACTCAGAACATTCTCTGCAAGAACACGCTTAGCCACCTCAACAGCAGAAAATCACCCTTTCTTCCTCAATAGTCCATCAGTCAAGAGAAAATTTCATGCTGACAGTTTCTTCCCCAGAACCACTTCACTGTGGAACAAGCTTCCCCGTGAATGTTTCACCGCTAATTACAACCTCCAACGGTTTAAATCAAGGATGAACAAATATCTGACCACGCAGTCATCACTGTAACCCAAAACACGTAAGTGGCTCTCACGAGCCTTGTTTTGAGGTGAATCTGAAGTAAATTTAAAAAAAAATTTCTTAGAACTATTGCAGAGTGGAACTGTGCAATGTGCCCTGAGAAGGTGACAGACGGTCACCGAAATGTTGGCTGAATAAAAGACTTGGTTGTGTAAACGAGAGTGTCTTTACTCGGTGTCTTAAAAACCTGATGAAACTATTCACGGATATACAGAAATAGAATCAGTAACACACAAATGCAACTGCAGTGTTGCAGTCATGGATCATTGCAAGATTTTATGACTGAGCCCTGGTTTTCTTGATATGAGAATATTTTATTCACTGTAATTATTATTCCTTGTGTTTCACCCCCTCCCACTAAATGTTAGTTTGCTTTCCCACGTGCAATAATAAAATACTTTTTTTTCATTACTACTGCAGGCATAAGCACACAGTAAGCTTGTAATCTGTGCTTTTGAAAGTCCATGATTGCGTTTGTGTACGGATTTCGCCATAATGCTTTGAGCATCAAGACATAGGATCATTAGGTGTTTACATGAAAATTGTCTCATCGTCTCAAAGCACAATATTTTTTCACAGACTTGCAATTATGTTTATCAAAGCAATGCGTGGATACTGGGCATAACTTTGAAGAAAAAAAATAATTACGTTTTCGATTACTTCAAAATGTGGCGCTGACTGCCTTGCTTAGCTTTCATCCCTTAGTTTTCAAGTTTCGTAGACTAGTTAGTAAAAAATATGCATTACTTCCGTGCTGGTCGTACGATCAATCAAACTTTGCACAACAATTGTAGCAGGTTACGTAAAGCTGGTTTTAGTCTCTGCGTGGGCGTCAGTCAGGCTTCGCGTCAGTCGACAAACCCGTGCCTGGTGTAGGGCGTGTTTTTGCTGTGCAGAAAACAGACAAGTGGCATCATGTCCCAGACTGGTGACACCGGAGGTAACAGATTTTCTCTTAATTCGTGTGAATTTGTCTTTTTCTTCTATGTACTGCTTAGCGACCAAATATTTGACAGATAGCTCCACGAATGTCATTGACAGTTACGTTTGTTTTGGTGTCTTTCAAGAGTCATAAGAAAACCAGGCAGAGGTAGGGATATGGTAGCAGCCAGATTGGCTCTGAANTAGGGCGTGTTTTTTGCTGTGCAGAAACCAGACAAGTGGCATCATGTCCCAGACTGGTGACACCGGAGGTAACAGATTTTCTCTTATTTTGTGTCAATTTGTCTTTTCCTTCTGTGTATTACGTATGGGGCTGTCACATTGTGCGTAAATCGATGGGCCGACTAGTCGGCGAGCTCTAAACGACATCGCCGGCGATTTTTTGGATTCGGCCGAAGCTCGCTGAAACGCGAAACGTGTTCTTAACATCAGCGACTAGTCGCCGGCGATTTTTAGGTCGCAGAGCTCGTTTCCAGCTCGCGCGTACCTCACCCGTAGCTCGTCCCTGTACGACCGAGAGTCGACCGATATTCGGGTGTACATCCCACGAGTCTCGGCCGTTCTTTGTCTTCGAAAATCGGGCGATGGTCGCTGAATAGATTTTGAACCCAACTGATTGAAATCTTTATACCCCCGTCACATTGTCGACGAGCTTCGGCCGTATTTGTCAATCGCCGAAAGATCAGCCGATTTTGAGATCGACCGACGATCGCGCGTATTTTTGGCTTGAAAATCGTCGTGGTCACATTGTGCGAGGCTCGGGCGATCGCTTGGGAATACATCTATGATAATGAAGACCCTATAACATGGCAAGCAGATGAAGCAAGGCCAGTGTATCCACCTAAAAATGAATAGTTTGGACAATTTTTATGTTTGACCTGTCGTAATATTTTTTGCAAAGTAATGGATTAACACAACGAACACCTTTTTAACCAGACAGGAGTCGGCCGAAGCTCGCTCGACACACGGGCGTACGTCGCCCGAGTTACGTTCGACGATCTATCGATGTTCGCACGATCTCTAGACCATTCAACCAAAATGTACAACAACATAATGATTATCATTATATCAAAATCTTTTTTTATACACGTATACGTGTACCTGAACAAAGCTAATAAGATATATTATTCTAAAACTTAACCTCTATAGATCTACTTCTGTCTAAAATAGTATGAATCCTCCGGTAAACAAGTTTATTATCCATTCAATGGCATCAAAGTAGACAGAAGTAAAAAGAGCCATGCAATATAAACTTCAACTAGTAAGTAATATCTCTCTACCACATGACGTTCTTGTGGGCACCATAAGAAACAAGTCAACCTTATTCCAGAATGAACAAGTGTAAAAGTCAATTTATTATACAACCTCCTAAAGGAACAAGAGTAAAGGATTTCATTTGCGTTCAATCAGTTGGGTTCAAAATCTACACTAGGCATTTTGACTTTATATAGTGAAAACCTTCTAATTTTTTTAAAGTGTTAACAAATGTTGATTTAACAAAAGTACAAAAAGGACAATTTTATCTATTTTTATCCTTTCTCGTAAACATAACGTTAACAATCAGTGGGACGTTGCTCCTGCAAACTTTACAAAGTATACTGTCAATGAAATCTGAAATAAATGTCACAGGTGCCA